TGTATAACTGGCCTGGCAGAAGGGTCTACCTCGTGGTCTGGGATTTCAGATGATAATGTCCGTCCTAGCAGGACTGACGTCAGATATGTCCAACAACGGGCGGTGTTAGGGAGATTGTAGCCACCTACGAAAAAGCCAAAATGAGTGTTCAATGAAAGTAGAACTAGAATAGCAGATGAAGCGTCTCATTTAAAACAAACCGAAGTGAGTAGTTTACCTTGTTATCTGCAGTGTATGCCACGGTATGAATACAATATATGGCCAAAAGTTGGTTGACACATGACCATTATACTTCTATGAGCTTGATGGACATCCCATTCCAAAACCAAGGCCATTAATATGGAGTTGGCCCCATAGCAATTAATATGGAGTTGCCCCCATAGCAATTAATATGGAGTTGCCCCCATTCCCCCATAACTATTAATATGGAGTTGCCTCCATAGCATTAATATGGAGTTGCCCCCATAGCAATTAATATGGAGTTGCCCCCATAACTATTAATATGGAGTTGCCCCCATAGCAATTAATATGGAGTTGCCCCCATAGCAATTAATATGGAGTTGCCCCCATAGCAATTAATATGGAGTTGCCCCCATAGCAATTAATATGGAGTTGCCCCCATTCCCCCATAGCTATTAATATGGTGTTGGCTTCTAATTGCGGCAATGACATCCTTCGCTCTTCCGGGAAGACTTTCTACAGGCCTTTGGAGGGGAGGGTGTCTGTAAAAATTTGTCAAATTTGTGAGGTACTGATGTTGGATCAGAAGACCTGGCTCACAATCTGTGTCCTAATCCATCCCAAGGGTGTTTAGTAGGGTTGAGGTCAGGGCTCTGTGCAGGACACTTGGGTTCCTCCACACCAAAATGGTTTTTATGGAGCTTAGACATTAAAATTGGATTGTTCCCTCCTTATGGCTATAACATCCTCCACTCTTCTTTGAAGGCTTTCCACAAGATATGGGAGGGTGTCTGTGGGAATCCCATTTGTGAGGTCAGGTACTAAAATATTGAATGAGAAGACCTGGCTCACAATTGGCATTCCTGTTCATCACAAAGGTGTTCAGTAGGGTTGAGGTCAGGGTTCTGTGCAGGACCCTCAAGTTCCTCATCACCAAACTGGTCAAACCATGTCTTTATCGAGTTTGGATATTAATATGGAGTTGTCTCCCCTTTGCACCTATAGCATCCTCAACGGTGGATAAGAAGACCTGGCTCACACTTGGTATTCCGATTCATCCGAAAGGTGTTCAGTAGGGTTGAAGTCAGGGCTCCAAGTAGGCCACTCGAGTTCCTTTTCCCCAAACTGGTCAATCCATGTCTTTAGGGAGCTGGCTTTGTTCACCTAAACTCAATAATTCCTATGTTACATAAGGTGTTCTGAAGTTCCACAGGAGTGAGGTCAGGGCTCTGGTGTGGAGGAACTTGAGTGGCCTTCACAAAACATCAAGGCATGTCTTTATGGAGCTGGCTTCGTGCACAGGGCACAGTCCTTCTAGACCAGAAAAAGGCCTTCGCCAAACTTCTACCACAAGGTTGGAAGAGCACAATTGTCTACAATGTCTTTGTATGATGGAGTATTAACAATGCCCTTCACTGGAGACACCTGAACTCCATCATATGGAGGAGGGTCCACATACTTTTGGCCACATACTACATGTAAAAGGTCAGGTGTCCATGTATTTGGCCATATATTGCACCTGCCGATGCCGTCAGTGATTAAGCTTTCCTCAAACTAGGTGACAACAAATCACTGCAACATTGTTACTTTATTCAGTGCTACAGCAACATGGACTACAGCGCTGCACCATCGTGGAGGGTTCCGAACATTACCACTGCAGGGTACCCTTCCCCTCCATACCAGTCAGCATTAGCCAAATGCAGCTCCAGTCCAAGATGTTGTGACCTTCAGCAATAAGCCAATAATAATATGGTGAGAACATCACATGTGGCAAGTACTGTATGTAGCGGGTAGACGGTGTGATCATAATACAATAAACATTCTCACCGCCTCCGAGGATGAGTGTAGGAAGCTGCCACTGTAAAACATACTTCAGGCACTTCCCAATCCCCTCTGGAGTCATGTTAAAGCTGCACATGGGGTCTCCCGCAATGGTATCGGCTCCTAGCTGCAGGACTACAGCAAGAGGGTTAAAGGCTGCGAATACTTCCTTCAGCACACTGCAAAATAAATAAAATAAAGCTGGAATTATTAATAATGAAATGACGTATATATATATAGATATATATATAGTGTATGTGTATA